ATCCTGTTGTTTGCTTTTTAACTGGTGGATGCAATGTCTTAACTCCTTGGGGTAGTAATTTTTTTTGTCTTTTTTTTTTTTTTTTGTGACAGGGTCTTACTGTGCAGTTCAAGCTGGGCTTGAGCTCACTTTGTAGCCCAGGCTGGCCTCGAACTTGCAACGATCCTCCTGCCTCAGTCTCCCAAGTGCTGGGATTACAGGTGTGTGCCACCATGCCCAGCTTGGGGTAGTAACTGTAAATTTTATTTGAAGCTTTCTCTGTTCTTGGCCTCATTTGTTCATTCCTCATTCAATTTTGGGAGAGACTGTTTTATTTTATGATAGAGACTTCCTCAGATATTCGGTGATCCTTAGTTGTCACTTCATCTTTTAGAGTAAGCCGTATGCACATGGCAGAGTTCATCAGTGGGAGGACTTCACCATAGGCTTTTTGGTGGATAACCTTGCTGGCTTGCCAGGGGAACCTGCATGCTCCTACCTGTGGTTTTCTTCCCATGGTGCAGTTCAATTTTCCTGAGAAAATCCCTTAGACTTCTGCCAGGGAGCAATAAATGGTGGCCTGCCTTCTGGGAGCAGAGTCAAGGAAAGGAACTGGGGTGTATCTACTCAGCATACCAGCTCTCCATCCTGAACGCTTAGCTGACTCCCCCTGGCGGTACTCTGTGTTGGAATCTGTCTTTTGTTTTTCTTCTGGTATCAGGAATTGAACTTAGGATCTCATGCCTGCTAGGCAGGCGCTGTGGCGCTGAGCTAAATTCTGACTGTGTTGAAATCTGGACCCTTCCAGTTCATGTTTCCATGGATAAAGTCTCTCTTTGGCCCAGGTGATGAATGACTCAGGTTGCTGGGGCAGAGTATGGTTTTAACCTCAACTCTCACCCCATTCATCCTTCCAGCAAGGTCTGAGTCTGTGAGAGCTTTTTCTTTTCTTTCTGTCTCTCTTTCTTTCTTTTTTTCTTTGTTTCTTTCTCCTTTGTTTCTTTTTTTTTTTTGGTCTTTTTGAGACAGGGTCTTGCTATGCAGTTCAGGCTGGATTGGAGCTTACTTTGTAGTCCAGGCTGGTCTTGAACTTGCAATGATCCACCTGCCTCAGCCTCCTGAGCACTAAGATTACAGTGCCACCACTGATGTGCCACCACAACCAACCTGAGAGCTTTTTCAAGCTAACCAATTAGTTTACTTCTCATCTGCAACCCCTTAACTTTGCTCAGAAATTTACTACTCCTCTGTCTGCTTTCTGGCTTTTAAATATGAATGGCCAATAAACATAGGAAAAAAATCCCCCATAACACTAACCACTAGGGAAATGTAAAATGTAACCACAAGATGCCATTTCTCATCCATTACTTTGGCTATTATATCTTTAAAAACCCGCAGAAACCCAAAACAAAAACAAGAGTTGTTGGCACGGATGTGAAGAAATTGGAATCCTTGTACACTGCTGGTGGAAATGTGAGACAGGGTCTTGCTAAGTTGCCCAGGTTAGGGTTTAACTTGTGATCCTCTTGCCTCAGCCTCTACAGAAAACATGACGTTGATTCTTAAATGTAGAATTACCCATTTCCACTTCTGGGTACTTTCACAAAAAAATAGAAAGCAAGTACTAAAGTATTTACATGTTAATGTTCACAGCAGCATTATGATTATAGCCCAAGAGGAGAAAAAACCCGAACACATTGTGTCAGTTTGAGAAACTTAAAAGTTTAATGAGGGGCCTCAGCAGGGGGCCAGGTCCTCACTTTTAAACATCCTCATCCAGTGCAAGAGAAGGGTGGAAATGGTGTGAGGGCTACACCTGCCTAGCGGGTGGTAGCCTGCATACAATATAAGGGAGAAAAAGAGGCTTGCTCTTCCCCACTTTTGCTCTTGTTGCTTTTGCTGTCTTGAACCATTCCCCCTCACCATGCCACCCTCCTTGGAGCCAGTTGATTACGAACTGAAACCTCCATAAACTGTGAGCTAAATAAACCTTTCCTAAGCCGGGCGTGGTGACACATGCCTGTAATCCCAGCACTCGGGAAGCTGAGGCAGGAGGATTGTTGCGAGTTCAAGGCCATCCTGGGCTACAAAGTGAGTTCAAGCCCAGCCTGAACTGCATAACAAGACCCTGTCTCAAAAAGACAAAAAACAAATAAACAAACAAAAAAAACCCCCAAACAAACAAACAAATAAATAAACCTTTCCTTCCTTAATTTTGGGTGTTGGGTGTTTTGTCTTAGCAATTACAGAAAAATAACTAAGACAGTAGACGAATAGGTACACAAAAATGTGGAATAAACATAAAATACAGTATTTTAAACCTTAAAGAGAAATGAAATTTGATACATACTCCTGATATAGAGGCGATATATAACTCCCAACCTGTGCCTGGTAGATGTCCAATATGCCAAGTTCGTGTTCTCTAAAATCAGAGAATTAATTCTAGGAACAATGGTGGTTAAGAGCAGAAAATATTTATTGGGAGAAAGAAAGCTATATTTATTGGGGGAAAGAAGGTTTCTATCTAAGAGAGACAGAAGGGGTCCCAAGTGGTTTGCTGAGGACCCAGCTTCTTCAGGGAGTTCTATAGAGCAAAGCCATGAGATGAGGAGGGTCTAAAACGGGAAAAACTGTAATCAACTAATACGATTACAAGCATAGTCACTTAGGTAACATGATCCAACAGGAAATCACAAGGTGGGTGGGACAAAACTATGGTGAACCAATAAGATTATGACTATAATCACTTAGGTGATATTGATTAAATGGGGATCAAATGTGGAAGCAGGTCACTTCACTTTTCCTGAAAGGGAGGTTTTGGTCTCTCACTCAAAGTGATTTGTACCTACTTAGAATATCAATTACTGCTGTTCATCCTTAGGTGAAGTATATAGGTGTAGTCATTACACCTTTTGTCTTGAGGTCTGGCCTTTAATTAGTGTGCCTCCCCCAACAGTTGTAACGCATCTGTACTAACAACTTTCGAGGGCCTCACCCTCTCTGACTGCCTATGATATTTCTAACTAGCTTAGCTGTCTGTAATACTACTACATGTATAAACCATGAGGACATTGTGTTAAGTGAAATAAGCCACATACAAAAGGATGAACACAGTAGACTTCACGTGCACGGGGTGCCTAGTGTTGCAGAATATGTAGTAAGTATTACAGGTAGCTAAGTTAGGTAGAAATATTGTAGGCAGTCAGAAAAGGATGGGCCTTTGAGAGGTCAATGCAAAAGACAATTGTGGCTGGAGATGCATTCACTGAAGGCCAGACTTCAAGAAAAAAAAAGGCCAGACTTCAAGAAAAAAAAAGTACTTACCCATATACTTCCCCTAGAGAGGAACAGCAGTGATTAATATTCTAAGTAAGCATCAATCATTTTGGGGGGCAGAACCAAACCTCTTTAATCCACTCCTTCCAGAAAAGTCCTTATCTGTCCCATGTGCACTTGCTACATGACTTGCTTCCCCATTTGATCCCCATTTAATCAATATTTCTCAAGCAACTATACTTGTAATGTTATTTGTTGACCATAGTTTTATCCCACATCACATCCATCCTATGATTTTGCATTGGATCCATATTACCTAAGCAACTATACTTATAATCTTATTGATTGATTATAGTTCTGTCCCACCTTGAACCCACCTCACCTTGTGGCTTTGCTCAATAAAACATCCTTGAGAAGTGGGGTTGACAGGCAACCCACTTTCTGGGCCCTCTCCTGTCCCTCTTAGACAGAAGCTTTCTTTCTCTCAATAAATTCTTCCTACTCTTAACCTCCGTTGTTCCTAGAATTCATTCCTCAGTTGTAGAGAACATGAACTCAGCGTTTTGACCATCTAGCAGATTGGGAGTTATATTTCCTCTGTATCAGCAAGAAACAAAGTAATGGTTACTATGGGCCAAGAAAGAAGAGAATGGCTTAGGGTCAGATATAGAGTTTCTGCTTGAGATAAGGAAGAAGTTCTGGAGATGAATGTTTGTAATGGTTGTACATTCATGTGAATGTGCTTAATTCTACTGAACTGAACATTGAAAAATAGTTAAAATGGCAATTTTGATGTTATTTGCATTTTACACAATAGAAAGAAGAGTTAAAAAAAGGAATGACTAGCTGAGCATGGTGGTGCATGCCTGTAATCTCAGAACTTGGTAGGCTGAGGCAGGAGGATTGCTGCATGTTCAAGGCCAGCCTGGGCTACAGAATGAGTTGAAGGCCAGCCTGAACTGCATAGTGAGACCCTGTCCCCCCATGCCAAAAAAAAAAAAAAAAAGGAATGACAGTGTTCTTGCTTACTGTGATATTATTTTCTTTTTTTGTTTTTTTTTGTGGTACTAGGGATTGAACCCAGAGCCTTACCACTGAGCTACATCCCTAGCTCTTTTGTTTTTACTTTGAGAGGAGGTCTTCCTAAGTGACTGGGATCTCAGCCTTGCAAGGTGCTGGGATTATAGGCATGTGCCGTTATGCTTGGCTTATTTTCCATTTTCTCTGACTATATGAACATATTCCTTGATTGTCATTTAAGTGAGGTCTCAGGAAGCAAAAGAAATAAGTGTTTGTGGTAAGTCTACCAATTACAGTTAATTGTCCTAAGATATTTTCTAAATGCCTGCTGCAGGATGGCAACTATACTAGAAAATGTAAATATCATTCGTTTCCATGTTGAAGGAAAAAATGGAAATCATGGGCACCATCTCCTAAACTTGTATGCTATTAACCAATTCTGGCTCTGAGGTCATTAAAGAGGGGAAAAACAGATTTGCAGCAATATTTAATGTATTTTCTGTCATCTTGGGCTGCAACTCTGAGTTGCCGTAGCAACAGACCAGAGCAGGAACTTCATTAGGGAGGAGCTCCTTGGGTTTTAACATTATTCCATCAGGCAGGCTGATGTGGGGACAATCACACACATCCAGATCTGCTCAGAGAAGCTACAAAATTAGCTAAATCTAATGTCTTTGCAACAAATGAAACTGCAACCCAAATCTTGCTTTTTGCATCTTTTTCAGAATCATCAGTAGTGAAAAGAATCCTTTGGAATTTCTTTGGGGTAAGTATTCAAAGTAGCATTTGCAATGACATTGGACCCTCCCATTCACAAAGAAAAGGCAGGAAGGAGCACTGATGGATAAGTGATAGGCAACAGTTTATTCCACTGGTGTTTGGCTTTTGAAAGAGGATACCTGGCATACACAATGTCATCAGATGGAACAGTACTGAGTATTGGTCAAATCTTGTCACATGTGAATAGAGAACTATTTCTTGGAGGGGAGGAGGGTGCCTTCCCAAATACTCTCTCTCTCTCTCCCCCCTGTAATTTCAGGCCCAACCTGAGAAAGACCTTCCCAATACACATGATGCCCTCTGTAAACAACAGGAATCCATGCTGCCCTCAGCAAACAGAACTGATGGCCATAAAGAAATTTAGGACTGAACCTGCGGTCTCCTGACACCAGAAGACCCAGCTTTATATGCACACCTGTGCGGATTGTCCTTGCCACATTCTCAAACATTCCATTCAGATTCCATGGGATGACCCATGGAATGGGGACAACCCCAACCCCAACCCCAATATACACTTAGCCTCCCTCCAGATATTTGTTGATATCACTCCAATTTCAGCCTGCCTGTACCTAGATGATATTAAATCTAGTCTTTCCCAGTTTCCATCTCCGGGTGGTTCCTCACATGTCATTAATGAACAAAAATTTGGTCAGAATCCAGCCAGTGTTAGGTGATGGTGGGAACCACCATCAAGCATGGCTTTTGGGGAACAGGAGTTCTAAGCAGAATTCTGTAAAAATGAGGAGTTACATACTTTTTTGGTATTTTGTTTTTTGAGACAAGATCTCACTGTGTATCCCTGGTGAACCTACAGTGATCCTCTTGCTTCAGCCTCCGGAGTGCACCACCTTGCCTGGCCAGAGTCACATACTTTTGAAGAAGGTGGATCCAATCCATTAAGACCTTACCATTGGTCCACTTTGTTGCTGTGATTAAATCAGACTCATTTCAAGCATTTTTACCAGCCTTACCAGCTTCCAGAAGGTACAAGTCAGTACTGTCAAATGGAACCATGCACTGGTCAACTTCCTCAGGCAAGTAGTCATTTTCAAGTCTCTACAAACTGTAAAAAGATCTTTTTAAGTTTAATTTTTTAAAGAAAAGTTTGAGATGGTCTCAATATAATGGTCAAGGTGCTTCTGAGCTCACGATCCTCCTGCTTCAGCCTCCCCTGGCATGTACCACCATGCCAGGCTAAACCACTGTTTTGTTGATTCATTTTTCTCCCCTAACGGGTGATATTGGAGTTTAACTCTTCTATTTACAATACAAGTGGGTTTTATTGCAAGTGTGACTTTATTGGGCTGTACTTGTTCTTCCTTGTACACAATTGTGGTATAATCAAACATATCATTGAAGTCAGTACTGTTTTTCTTTTTAAATTTTTTTTTGACAGTTGCTAATTTAAAGGCCCTGGGCAAGGTACTGTACAATTTATAAAGGGGGTAGGTGTGGTACCACTGTGGTCCATAGAAGAAATGACAGAAGATTATTGGTGATTAATCACCCAGTGAGTGATACACACCAGGTGGTCCCAACCTGAGCTCCTGGCTTCCAGGGGTCGTAGAGAGTAGGAGTGGAGAGAAGGGAGGGCTGCCTGTGAGCTACTGCCAGTACTTTAAAAAGACTAACCCCCTGCAAGAAAGACTAGCCTCAAGCTCCCATTTACCAAGGATTAGGTGCACAGGCTAATTAAACTAAAACATCAGATTTCTTTGCTTTGGGCTAGAATTATATCAACTTATTGTACAAATACCAGTTACCCTATGCTGACTGCAAACTCTGATTGGCAGTTACCTTTGTCTTTGATTAATAAAACATGAGGAGGTGAATGCATCATTACTTGACAAGTGTGTTTGTTTGATAGTGTTTCAAAGCATGGGGTTTGTGAAGGGAGAATAGGAAAATGTGCTGTTTGGGTGAAAAACTTGGGAATGGGTGAGATTGGGTGGGAGGGGACTCATTCAGAAGCCTCTGTGGATAGCAAGAGCAGAGGCTGCTTCACGGAGGTGGGGAGGGGCCTCATCTAAGAAGGGTTCTGAGAGATGTCTAGGGTTGATCTAGTCAGTGTTTTCGAGTGTGGTCTGGACTGGTAGTATTGGCCCCATCTGAGGAAAGCACACACTCTAATTTTTTTTTTATGAGACAGGATCTTGCTATGTAGTGCAGGTTGGCCTTGAGTTCACTATGGGCAGGCCTCAAACTCAGCAATTCTCTTGCCTCAGCCTCCCAAGTGAGTACTGGCATTAGAGGTGTGTGCCCAGTCAAACTCTGGTTCCAAGTCAAAATCTCTGGGACCAGGCCCCACCCTCTGGGCTGTAATCTACCTCCAGCAGGGTCCAATACACAGTGCAGTTTGGGAACCATGATCTCTACCATTGCTCCCAAGACTGAGACGCTCAGAGCAGCAGCTGATTCTAAGAAGCATCTGTTCGGTTTCAGGTCAAAGTGGAAATAAAGTGAAATTGCTACTGAGAAAGTCCCTTCCTTCTCATTCTCTCATGCCTTCTGATAATGGTGTAAAAAAACTCGGACAGAGAGAACAGTTGTCATTCAGTTTCAGAGCCTCGGCAGGAATAGAATTTAACTTGTAATTTGGTTCTCTTTCCCTAACATTTATTTTTATAGTTACTTTCTTTATTGGCTAGTGATACTAGTTTTCCTTTTACAGGAGTGGCATAAAGTGCTTTTTATGAAAACTTTATTTACATAAAAATATGGCTCAGTGAAAAGAAAAAAGGTAAAAGTATCAGAGGTAGGTGGAAATGGAACACATAAAGCATTAGGTGAGTGACTGAAACTTGTGACATATATTTAAGGTAACAAAGGTGGGTATGGACACGAGAGCATTTGGTGTAGGTGCTGGAATGGAAGGATTTGTGTTTTTCTCTGCTTCTCAGGCTTTTTTTTGAGAGCAGGCCACAAATACAGTCCCACTGAAGCAAATACAGGTACAAGGAGCAAAGTATTCAAATAGCAAAAGCTATTCCAGGCTCCAACCTATGGCCCACCTGGGAACAGAGCTCAGAACCACACAGCCCTGCTCAGCAAGGGCCTGAACGGGGCTCTGGAGTTACTGGTGCAGGGCTTTGTGATACTTCATTTCCTTCATTTCCACTACAAGGCTGCTGCACTGTAGTAAGAGCTGGGACACAGGCTTTGCAATCTCATGAGAAAAACGAGGAAACAGTTCTTGAATAGGTGACAACAGCAAATTTTCACCCATTCCAGAGTCGTACTGATGCTTTCCCACCACTTTAATTTGAGTCTGGAAGTGCCAAAATTAATTGTTTTGTGTACACACATAGATGTCCTCTAGTGTGCTCCACATGGGGTCACTTGGGGGGAAATTATACTATGTTCCTTTTCCACCCAATATTTCGATTATAGGCAAAGTCTCATTAAAAATAATGGAAAAGGCACTCAGGGCTGGATGTGATGGGTGTGTGCCTGTAACCTCAGATACCTGAGAGACCAAGGCTGGAGGATCACAAGTTCAAAACCAGCTGGGACACTTTAGTGAGACCTTGTCTCAAAATAAAATTGTAAAAAGAACTGGCGGTATGCATTGTATGAGGTGTCCAGGATCCAATCTCCAGTCAGCCACAAAAATAAAAGACATCAAGGGGAATGCCTCTCTTTTTTGAACTCAGTGCATAAAACACAACTTAGTATAATGCACACATACATGCATACACACACTTTATACCACGTAAACAAAGGTTTCATGAAACAGTTCCTGTCCTTATTACAAGAGACACATTCAGAATTTTTACTGTAGTCTGTTTCATCACAATCCACTAGTGGTCTCGTTAGCAGCATGGAAAGTTCCGCCTGACTCAAGGTCCTGCTGTTCACTGTGTGTAGGGTGACCTGTGAGCATGTTGGAGTGCAGATTCCCGGACTCAAGATTATCCCCTCCCCTGCCTCCATGGGATACTGATTTGGTTGGTTTGGGCTATCGCTGAGTTCTGCAGGTTTTGATAAGCAACTTAGAGGATTCTGATGAAGGTAGAACTTAGACCATGTTTTGAAAAAACACTACTTTAAAGGGAAATAATAATAGAATTCTAGAATATTAATATACAAAAAA